GGTTTTATTGTTGTTTTTTAAGGAAATGCTGCATTTACATGTGAAAATAAGTGTGTTATATTTGTCTAATGACCATATTTAGGTATATGAGGTGGTTAGAATGGCCTTAATAAATTATTGTAATATACAGAATCTGGTTTGGTAGAATATAGCTAATAAACGTTTCTTGTTTCATATTGTTTATGTATTAACAGTGCATTTGGAGCTTTTAAAGATAAAATCCTGCCATAATATCTTTCTCCTCTGGGGTGGTAAATTGAGACATTGTGTTTAGAGACAGCTTTGAGTGGCTCTGCTGAAGGGTGAGGATGTTTGAAGCCAGTTCTGGGACTCACCCAGGCCTTTACATTTGCATTATTTGCCTTAAATCTCCCAGTTGTTCCTGCTTTTGAAGTCAGCTGGGGAAAGTTAAATACTGCCCTGTTTAATGCTGCTTCTACTTGAGAATTTTCAGATGTGAAAGAAAAGAAGTGGGTTTTCATGTCTTTAACTTTCCTGCACTTACAAACTTTTATGGTTCCTTGGCACTGGTCAGGAGGAAAGTAGATGGCAAGTGTGTTCCTGGAGAATTCTAATTATTGCTGTTTCAGGTGGAAGGGAGGCTCTAAGTGGACACATGAGATTTTTGGGACAGGAGATTTGCTTAAAAAACATTTTTATGTCTTTTTTTTGGGGGGGGGTGGAAGTTGGGGAGTGACCACCTGGTATTTTTTCTGCCTGCTTGTTTTTCAGACATGGGGAATTAGTAGATGTTAAACATGAATGTGTCCTTTAAAAAGTTTTTTGGATGATGTGAGCAGTGCTCTTTGTTTTCATTACTACTTTTCCTCTCATAAAACCAGAGAAACAAGTGAGTGCAATGCCAGGGAACACTTATATCCCTTTTCTGAGTTTTATTTCCATGCAGGGGAGTGTTGGTGAGCAGGGCATGGTTTGTACACGTGTGTTGAGGTCCCACCTTTAGGTCCAGCTTTAATTGTCTTTTCCAGGGCTTGTCTCCTCCTTTAAGCTGGGCTGGCACAACACTGCAAGTGCTGCTGGACAGAGAAGTGCAGGTTTAGCTGAGTCCAGTTTAACTCCTCCCATTAGTGCCTTTATATCCATGAATTCCTGTCTTTAGACTCCTGGCTAATCTGGTTTGTAATCCACATTTTTAATCTACCAGAGCAAACAGGAGGCGGTTGGAGATGTTTTTGAGGCAATCCCCTGTCAAAGAACAGACCTGACTTGTTAAACACAAACATTCTGAACTGTTACTACTGTTTGTTTTTAAAAAGCAAAGTATGGCTGGGTTTGTTTGAGTAAAGTAATGCATTAAAAAAATATCTCAAAACGTTGCCAGATGAAATAAAACCAAACACAGTTTATTTTGCTGATTTAAATTGCACTAAATAAAAACCAAATTATACTATGGCTTAGCCTATTCAACCTTCATCCTGTGATCCTGGCACTGATAAATCAGTTTACAATATTCTGATGATTTTTTCTGTAGAAACAATTAGTCTGTAACAGATTGATATTTGTAGACCTTGCTGTTAAATACAGCCACGTGTTTGTTAATTCTGAATAAATCTGGGTCAGCCTGGTGTGTTGTGAAAAAGGCAACAGAGGCTGCAGTTTCTGGGTCTGAATTTGCAGGTTATTTTGGGGCCCAAAGACAAGCACTAGTTTTTGAGTTAACCTGAGCTTTGTGCCATGATATAGTCCCTGGTCAACACAGTATAAATCCATCTATGTATTTATATATCACTTAAATCCATTTATGTATTTATATATCACTTAAATCCTGAATAAGTCTGAGTTTCTTTGTGTGAAAGAATGTTACCACAGTCAACTTTTTTCGGTGGTTTTTCAACCACTTAAAATCTGATATAACAAATATTGTTTGATGTTGTCGTTGGAGAAAAAATTATATTGCTAATTATGATTGAAAAGCACACTTGAAAATTCTTTTGAATCATAACAGAAACTGCCTCAAAATACCTTTCCCAGGCCTTAAAAAAAAAAACAACCCCACCCCCTTAGTCCGTGGCATTTATGGTTCTGCTGCTGTTTCTCAGCTGCTGCTCCCCGGTGGAAGATTTGGAGGTAATTAAGCATTAAGAGAAGGAGCAGTTAGCAGGTATAATGTCGGGAGACTCGAGTTAATGTGGATGTGCCCATGACCTCCCAGACAGATCAAAGCCTAATCTGGGTGACAGCTACAGGATGGCAGAGCTTGCCAGGGGCCTCGTGCTGCAGCTCTTTGTCTGCCAATCCTGCCCCTCAGCCGCCGGGGCGTTTTTAAGGATGAACAGGTAAAAGTGAAAGGCTGTCTTTTGACATTTTAACTAATCCCTTCTAGCCTGTGGTTTCCTGCACATCCAGGGTATTTGCTGGCAGGAGAGCCTGGCTTTTTCCCATATGTCCCATGTCATGTCGGATCTGACGGCCGGGCGGGCAGGAGTTACACAATGCAATGGGTTCCGATTGCATTAGGGTGACGTGCGCTGGCCTTTTACCTTCAGCAGCCTCCCCATGCAAACCCAACTCCCAGCCATGGAACCTGTCATCTCCTCCTGAGACAGGATCATGGCAGTGAGAAAACCCCCTGGTTATCTGCTGTTAACCCTTCCTCCTGCAATTCAAACGGGAAGGAGAAGTTTCTGAGTCGCGTCATACACGAATCATAGAATCATAGAATCAACTGGGTTGGAAGGGACCTCCAAGATCATCAGGTCCAACCCTTGATCCACTATCACTGCAGTTCTCAGCCCATGGCACTGATGCCACATCCAGTCTCTTCTTAAAAACCTCCAGGGACGGAGAATCCACCACTTCCCTGGGCAGCCCATTCCAATGGCTGATCACCCTCTCTGGAAAGAAATTCCTTCTAATATCCAACCTAAACCTCCCCTGGCACCGCTGAAGACCCTGAGCCCTCTTGTCTTGCTGAGAGTTGCCTGGGAAAAGAGACCAACCCCCACCTGGCTACAACCTCCTGTCAGGGAGTTGTAGAGAGTGATGAGGTCTCCCCTGAGCCTCCTCTTCTCCAGGCTGAACAACCCCAGTTCCCTCAGCCTCTCCTCATGGGACTTGTTCTCGAGTCCCTTCCCCAGCCTTGTTGCTCTTCTCTGGACCTGCTCCAGGATCTCAATATCCTTGTGGGGTTTTGTGCCGTTTGAGCAACGAAAGGTCGTGGTTGATGTGCAGAACAAGCAAGAAACACTTGCGCAATGCTGATGTGTATTAGAAGGATGGAAAAGTCATGTATTTTACTGAGATGACCTGATTGCTTTGCATTCTCCTCTTACTTCATGCACATAATTAAAAATACCATAATTAAGACACAGGACTAATAATTCTCATCATGGCTAGGCTTGGCGAACGAAGATTTGGGAAACTAATAATTCTAATACTGTTTTGAACAGTCTTCTAGCAAAGTGAGAGACTGGTAAAGCTACATGTGTTCCATTTGTTCTTACTGGTAACAATTTCCTCTTCCGAAGAATTTCTGTTCTAAAACTTCCCAGGAGGAGAAGACAAAAATGATATTGCTAATTATGATTGAAAAGTACACTTGAAAATTCTTTTGAATTATAACAGAAACTGCCTCAAAATACCTTTCCAGGCCTTAAAAAAACCCAAAACCAACCCCTTAGTCTGTGGCATTTATGGTTTTGCTGCTGTTTCTCAGCTGATGCTCCCCGGTGGGACTATATTGTCACTGCTTATGTTTTAAAGCCTTGAATGAATTTTTCCAGTGGTGAAAGGTTCCCTTTGATTTCTCTGTAGTGTTTCCATTTGTAGAAGTGCACAGATAACCCCAAAATTCCTTTTCAAAGACTAGTTTTAATGTTCACAAAACCATTCAGAAGAAATCATCTTCCGTTTGGAAAATTCCAAAGGAAACCCTCACATGCCAGTCAATAAATCCTGAGTGACTGGAACAAATATTCAATCTGTGAAATCAAACTGAATTTGCTTTCTGGCTGCAAAGATTGAATTTGTAAATTTGACAGGCAATTTAAAGGGCATAAGTACACAAAATAAAATTTCTTATCCAAATGCAAGTTGAAAGTTACCTGTCAGAAGAGGTTAGAAGTCTGCTGGTTTCTCTCCTGAAGCGTGTCCTTTCACTTGTCAGTTTAGAAAGGTTAATACTGTACAAAAGAGCAACAGAAAGACCCTTTTTGGTGTAGTTTTATGTTTTTGTGTTTTTTTAAAAAAAAAAATTCAGCCTCCCTCTCTGAATAATAAAATAATAATAATAATAATAATAATAATAATAATAATAATACATCCTTTTGGTATTTGTTGGAACAGTGTATAATGTTCAAATTGTTCAAATTCAGAGCAGGCATCATATGTGTTGCTATCCATGGGATTGGGAAGGGGATTTCTTTTGTAGTTGATTCCAGATCTGCTTTTGAAGCAGGAGGAATAGAGTGTTTTTAAAAAGGGGAGCATGTTCTTCCCTCCTCACACTGCCCATGACCTGCCAGCCTTGGGTCACCCTGAGCCAGGGAAACGTTCCCAAAGCCAGAGGGTGATGCCAAACTGGGAATTAGGGTTGGTGTTGGTGACTTCTGGTAGTTGGCAGAGGCCACTCTGTCCCTAAAGCTCTTTCTTAGCTTCTGTGGGAGAAGAAAAGTTGTATTTGCTTCATCCTCACTTGGGAAAAGCGTGGCCTGGAGCCAGCAACAGCTCGGGATTTGGGATCAAGGGAAGGGTTGGGATCTCGGTGAGGTCATTTCCCATCAAACTGGGCTCTGGACTCCATCTCCCTGTACCTGGGCTGGGTTTGCCTGTGGGAACAGCTTATCCTTCTCCTGCTGGAGCAGGGATTTGGGGAAGTGTGTGGTGCTTGTGTCATCAGATTGAAATTATTGTTACAGATCACACCTAAGAATCGTTTCAGAAGG